CCCTCAGCTGCCCCCGCCACCACTGTTGGTGACTGGCGGTATTGATAACAGCCGGCCACCTGAGCGGCACCCTCCCTGCTCGTCCCGCCACGATTAGATAGGGCGTCCGCCGCACCCTGTCACCGCCCCCGCTGACACACTCCCTCTCGGCGCGTCGTGTCCGGTTCGGGCGGGTCATCCGGGTCGCGACGGCCGGAGGTCGGGGGAGGGGGTCGCGTCTGATCGCGGGGGTTGGGTCAAGAGACGATATGAATGGGGGTGGACCCGGGGGCTGCGGTCAGCAGGGGACCTGCTGTCTCACCCGACTCTCTTGTTTCACAAGGACCTGGCTGAGTGAGGACAGGGATGGGTCGCGTTATGAGAGCTGGGAACTCGGCCACCGCCCCGCGGGACCGTCCGACGCGCTGGGAGGTCACCTCGGGTGAGAGTGCCACGCGTCGCACTCCACACGTCGCGTCGGCGCTCAGTTCCCAGTCGGTTTGTTCAGGTGTCGAGTTCCCATGTGGCATCGGATGGGAAATGCACAGGTGGCTGTCTTATCTCTGGGGAGGCGGTGGGGAGAGAGAAAAGTGGGGAGGGCACAGCGGGGACAGGGGATGAGAGAGAGAGAGAGAGAGAGAGAGAGAGAGAGAGAGAGAGAGAGAGAGAGAGAGAGAGAGAGAGAGAGAGAGAGAGAAGAGAGAGAGAGAGAGAAGAGAGAGAGAAGAGAGAGAGAAGAGAGAGAGAGAAGAGAGAGAGAGAAGAGAGAGAGAGAGAGAGAGAGAGAGAGAGAGAGAGAGAGAGAGAGAGAGAGAGAGAGAGAGAGAGAGAGAGAGAGAGAGAGAGAGAGAGAGAGAGAGAGAGAGAGAGAGAGAGAGAGAGAGAGAGAGAAGTAACAAGAGTTCAAATAAATTATTCATAAAATAAAGTTGGAAGCAATAAACGAGAAAATCCGTCATGCAACCGAGTTTGCTTATATCGCGTCCACTATCCTCTCGAAATGCACGAACAAATGGGTATGCGACGTTTTAAATGAAAATTCACATGACTTTTGTCACTGACCTCAAAATGAGCCCTTACCATTGTTTTTGTTTTGTTTTTGAAAATACAAAAGGACGGCATCCGTAAAATAATCGATTCTCTCCACAGCGATTCACCCCATAACCACACCAATCAGAGCTCAACCACTTTCATCAGAGACGAGTTTATTCCCGACCGGTGGCTCTATAGGACGCTCTTTCCGGGTAGGCCAAGAGGTCTGTTTTGCTTCATGCCTTTCCATGATGAGCTCGTGACTGGATCCCGCTGTTGTTTCTCTTATCTCCGGATTCTCACCTTGTTCAGCTGCCTCCCTGGTCTTGACCTTCCGCTCCGAGCAGACAGAGCGCGGTCTCCAGCTCCGACGATCGGAGACTTCTTTTCGTCGCTGGCGCCGCCGCCGTATCGCCCCCCGTCGTCCGCGGCGCTCGCGGTCGGCCCAGACCTGTCACAGAGTACTGGAGGACACTGCCGTGCCCGCGGCGGCCTGCCCAGCTGACCGCAGCTGGACAGTGTCAGCGCGGCGCCCCGGCTACAGTCGAGCCCCAGGGGCCGGCCGGCCGGCCACCCCCAGCACGCGGCTCGCGCCTGGGAGCAGTGGCAGGCCAGGCGGCGCGCAGTTCTGGTCAGAGCCACGTGCCCCGCCGCGCTGGTGCCTCGCGGTGCAACGTGGCAGCCAGGCAGCTGTTGCGCCGCAATGGCACTGAACTGGCGTTCTGATAACTGGGTGCTGGTACTGTGGCTGAACTATGTCGAGAAACTCGTAGCGAACGAGCTCCGCACTTGGACATGCACTGGACAGTAATGGGGCAACGCAATGGACTGCATGTATGTTTTAATGATGAATAAAAATAGATTTGTCATGACGCGGTTATTGCTGGCGTGCATTTATTTGAGTGGTTAGTAGTATTTTTGAAGAACCATCCACGAGGAAGCTATATGTACATACAATGTCTATACCTACATAATACATAGGTATATCTTTTACGAATGTGTCCGTATATTTGACTAAGGGTCAACGGTCTGTTCTTCAAATCACAAAATACCGTCAAAATAGACGTTTTGTGGAGTTTTTTTTTTCAGAATTTTTTTTGCACCAAAAAAAAAAAAACGTTAGCACCATGTTCCAGCACTAAGGGAAACATGGAATCATTTGTAATTTGACATTAAAACCGTAAAATTCAGCTTTAAGATTTGAAAGTAAGACTTTAAAGATTGAACATGAACAAGGTCACTGCCCGGTGAAAAATTATCCACATCACCGGGTCAATATCCATGCTACCTATGATGCAACTTCGCCTAAGCTACTTTGATCTCTTTGGAATATGTTTAGTAAAAACGTCGCAGAAATGCTGGTGACCTTTTTATGACCTGTTATGACATCAACGTGATCACAAGAGTACTTTTCCAAGTCCGTACTAAATTTGCTCATACCAAGCGATAAAGGCGATTAGTTTAAACGTTCGAAACGGGCGCAGTCTCATTTGGTACCTACCCTTGGCTTGCTATGAAGAGGTTTCAAAATTGACCTAAAATTGACCTGTAACCAATATTTAAGTCCGAGATAAGCGTTTCAAACATCCTGATTCCTGATACTCTTATAGATCGATAAAAGTTTAGAACTGCATCGCTCAATTAATGGGTGCCGCCAGGGCAAGCATTTACATTTTCCTGATGTAAGGTCACCTGACATGACCTCGTGACCTAACTATAAATGGCCTGGGGCTGACTTTTTCTAATGTACGGAAATCATGCATGATAAGGTCATGAAGGACCCGTGCTCAGACACACGTAAAAAATCTGATCCGACCTCTAAACGGCTCCCAAACGGCGTACAGTGATTATATACGGGACACTTTTATTGTAACAGGAATGACATTGCATCAAAAGTAGGTATAAGTCTTTTGGAAAAGATAATAATGAGCTCGAAATTACAACTGTTGAAAATGAAAAAAATACAGCAGTTTATTATAGCAGCCAAGAAATGCTAAAAATGCAGGCAGGCTGACAGGCCATCGCTCCAGCGTCTTCGGGGCGCTCCCTGGGGATTGAGTCGACATGCCTTGTGACCATCCCCGTCACTGGGCCCACATCGTCCACCGTGAACTATAAACAGACGGCAGAGGCCGCCTCATTGACGCCTGGACGGGGGTACCTGGGGTATGTGTCACCCCTCCCCTCCCCCGCAGGGTGCAGATAGGTGCTCGCGGGGCTCGACTGTATCCAGTCGTGTTTGGACGCCGGACTGGCCGCGCCGCGGAGACACGGCCTCTGGTGTCGGGCCGAGCTGACTGAGTGTGCCGTGTCAGCGGTAATCGGGCGACCCGGGGGGCACGAGACACGGGGCACGAGGATAGGGATGGAGCTCTGGCTGAGCACGGGCTCGGACTCAGGGCCGGGCTTCTCGCCAGACCTCGGGTCCGGCTTAGGGGGTCGGAATTTGTGCTGGAGATAGGGACATAGTTCAATGGTGGTAGATAGGTATCGGTAAATTATTTAGTTGAGGGCTGGGATCTGTCTAGTCTGCATATAAGACAAATAATAGGTGTATCGTATCTTGTAAACAATATGAATCACTATCATACTGCCATGCAAAAAGATGTTCAGTCCTGTATCGCATAGATGTAAATACGTGCAGGGCAGCTGATTATGCCTACTGTGAAGCTTTGTCTTCAGTCGTTGCTGATCATCTAATTATTTCTCTCGTCTGCCCCGTCGTCCACACTCATTGCGAAACAGTCAACCGAACACTTACCGGTGTTATTCGTTTGTTTGACTAAGTCTGACCATTCGGTCTATTGAGACTGGACTGTTACAGGCTTGTTGAACTAATAAGAGAGGACGTTGGTATGAGCAGATCGCCGAGTAGTGTGCCTTTCTTCGTTTGTTCGTTTGAAGCTTGTTCTTTCGGTCTAATGAAACTATTTCAGAGATGGAAGGATACTAGGAATTAGGGGGAGGGAGACACTGGTCTGGGCGGGGACTTTGGTGAGTCACCGGGGCTGAGCCCCTCCAGTAGACAGACCACCCAGCCCCCTGACACCCACCGCACCCGGCTACGGTCCTGCTCCACATGTGGCAGTGGCGGCGAAACACCTTCAATTAAGGGGGGGGGCGACTTTTGGTCTTATTCTTTCCATGCAACGCTCATAGGGCTTATGTTAAAATGTCAAAATCAAAGGGTGCACGGTGCCCCCTCGTTCCGCCGCCTATGAGATGTGGAGCTACTCGCATGGGACGAAATTGCCCGTGCAGCCCGGATCAAGGTGTAGAGGCGTGGAGAAAAAGGATTTAAACATCCTGAACATGGAGACGACGGAACGGATTCGACTAGCGTGCCACCCCAAGGGATTGAATCCATCCCGTTGAGACGGGTAACAGACCAGCAGTCGCTCAAACGGTCATCGTCGGAGCCAGGAGGCGTGCGCTACTAACGGGACTGCCCGGCACTGATTGCCTGACGAGAGGACCGCCTAACCGAGACGGGAAAGTGTCATCGGGGATGAGGATTGGTTGGTCCCGAGGAGAGGGGACGGGTGTCATACCTCCCCGGTGTAGATGGCGCCAAGCTGCACACCGTCACCAGCTGATACACCTCTGAACGTCTCCCCGACTGACGACAGTGGCGCCGCCAGTCGGCCAAAGCCGAAACTGCCTGTCCTTCGTCGGCATCTGTCCGCCTCGGCCCGTTCCACTTGCGTTCCACCCCTTTTCAAACACACTACACCTTTTTGCACTCAAAATAGGCATCTTTTCATTCAATTTCGGCGAATTGCATTCAATTTTAGCGATCTCTCATTTGCTTCGAATAGAGAGATCGCTAAAATTGAATGCAATTCGCCGAAATTGAATGAAAAGATGCCTATTTTGAGTGCAAAAAGGTGTAGTTATAGCCATTCCTTAAATGCGGCGTAATTCTTAAGTCCTAACTAAGCATACAACAGAAACGTACGCACTGGGCACAAGTCTTGAAACATCCCGAATTGACCTCCACATTGTGTATTGTGGATCCTTTTACACTTACAAAACACCTCAGTCGTTACATCAATAGCGAAACGAAATAAATGAATTAGTAGGCTAACTCCATTCACAAAATGTACATTCACATACTTCCAGCTCACAATTGAGCAATGCAATGCCCTACAACTACGAGATGATCACTAAAAGCTACACAACATCTAAACACAACAGTCAGAACTCATAACATTTACACTCCATCAACTACCCCAACCACTGCTACTACGAGGTTACAACTTACAACCGACTTCTACCTAAGCGCGCACACATTTCGTACAAAACGATACCTTATCAAATAATATCACCCGTACGTTCGGAACCACTACCTCCACGCATCCCCCCTTTGGTGTCGCCCATTCATACACCACCGGTCCACATCAGACACCTGTCTATCGTCTCTCTGACACGGAATAAGCTGTCCAGTGAGAGTTCACCACCGCACTCACTAGGGATAAATCCCGTCACAACACGGGGTGTGTTCACAACACGGTGACAGTGAGGTGCCCTCAAAAAGGGACGACGACACCGCTCGTCAGAGCGCGCCACTCGTCAGAGAGTGAGCCGTCCGCTCGTCAGAGCGCCGCACGCTCCCTCTCGCGGGAGCAGTCAGTGTTCAGCACGGCAGGCCGCCACCGACACGGCAGCGGCCCGGCGCAGTGACCCAGAGCTAGTTCCGGCGCCGGTCAGCGATCACCTGCCGGGGAAAATGAGCTGTTAAAACTGGCCGAAAGGATAGAAATAAGTGATCAAGAAGAAAAATTTCTAAAAAAAGAATTCTAAATAAAAAAACCAACAATCAGTATTTATATAGGTCAGGTTATTACTGATGCAGCCAGCATCCGTGAATTCACATTTTAAAAAAAATCTTAAGAACTCCAGACAAAACTTATGCTGATTCAACTGACAGATAAAATGACCCACGTGACGGGAAATTGGTAAGATTGCTTTTTGGAGGCAAATGAGAATGGCAAATGACAATGGCAAAATTCAATGGAACACCCTACCAAATCCTTACTCAAGTGGGAGGGCAGGATTCTAAGACCATGCCGTATGCCGTCACTCGAAATGTGGGGGTGGGGGAAGGGGGGCACGCTCCTAAAGCTATCCCTCACTAGAGATGGGGAGGGCAGGTTCCCAAATCTATCAGCTCACCTGAGAACGGCGCCGGCGACGTTGGCCGAGTTGATCGAGGCCATGGAGGCCACAGGCATCGGCTGGTTGATTGACGCCATCGACGCCGCCGCCATCGGGTTCATGGAAGCCGCCATCGAGGCCGCCACCGGCTGCGGCATCGACGCCATCGTCGCCGCCATGCTGTTCATGGAAGCCATGGTCGCCACGGCCGCCTCGTTGATGGAGGCCATGGAAGCCATGGACGCGGCCGCCGGCTGGTTGATGGACGCAGCCGGCTGGAACACGGACTGGTTGGCGGCCATGGTAGCAGCTGCCATCGGGTTCATGGAAGCCATGGTGGCGGCCGCCGCCTGAGTCATGTTCGCCATTGACGCCATAGATGCGGCGACGGGCTGGTTCATGGATGCCAGCGACACCGCCAGCGGGTTCATAGAGTTCATGGTAGCCACCGCGGCCTGGTTCATATTGGCGATACTGGTCATAGACGCCGCTACCGGCTGGTTCAAAGACGGCATGGTCACCGCCAGCTGGTTCATGTTGTTCATGGAAGCCACGGCCGCCTGGTGGTTGATGTTGGCCGCCATGCTGGCCATAGACACCACGGCGGCGCCCTGCTGGTTCAGAGTGACCGGCGCCAGGCTGACTGAGATCGTCCCCGCCGTGCCCGGGGTGTGTGTCAGGGTGACCGGCACGGCGCCCATGCTGCCGGGCACGGTCACCACCTGTGCGGCGGCGCCCTGCGCCACCAGCGGCTGGCTGATGGGACACATGGTGATGGGCGCGGCCGCCACGCCGCCAGAGCCGGCCGCCATCGACACGGCCGGCACCGAGACGGTGGCCAGCGTGGTGACGCCCGCGCCGCTCGCCGACTGCTTGGCCAGCCGCATCTGCGCGTTCTGGTCGAGCAGGAACTCGTTGGTGGTGGTGAGGTCGTCCACCTGCGGTACAGAGGAAGGTCCGGGTCAGAGGGTATTGTGAGGACGGGCCGGCTAGGGGAAAATGGGACGGATCACAGAGTTGCCGACAGTGAACGGTTGGCAGCCACAAGAGCGCACCAGTCTTCCTGAGCCATTTTTAAATCCAAGGATCTGAGATAGAGCGTAAGTGTATCTTGGAAGAAAAAGAAATAATCAGCGTTATTTCTAGAAAGCTTAGGGTTACGTAAGGCCTGCAACATGCAAAAATGTAGACAAATCTTATCATCGTCATACGTAGATAGTCATATATAACTGCCATCGTTCCACGCAGCGAAGTAACCTTGGCTCAAACTATGTTGAATTGAATGACATTACCAACATAAGCACATCACATTGCTGAAACTGATCTCGTCCCGATCCCGACCCACTCGCCCCGGTCTGACCTGTTTCTGCAGCTCCTGCACTCTCCTCTGCAGTATCCTGTTCTCATCCTCTATCAGCCGGTAGTCTATGATGGAGTGCGGGTTGGGTTCCTGCGACAGCGGCGTCTGTCGATAGTCACGTACCACCACCCCACGCCGCGAGTAGTCGTCAAAGTGTCTCCGTTTGGCCTCTGGCGGCTCACAGTCCCCGCTGTCGGGGGAGCCGCTGGAGGCGGGCCGACTGCCGCTGCTGCTAACGCTACCTCCACTGCACAGCTGCTCCAGTTCGGACACCGTCAGGTGGCGGTACTTGCACTTGACACCGCGCGAGCACTCGCCGCGCGCAAAGTCCTTACACACGGGCACCTCGTGTCGGCCGACACGGATATCGGCGCCGCGCATCACGGCCGCCTCGAGCACGTGCGACGGCAGGTGACCGGTGCGTCGGAACAGCTCCTCATCGCCGCGCTCGCAGTGCACGAACCGGCACGACGGCCGGGCGCACTGTCCGTTCTGGTAGTCGTGGCAGAAGGTGACCAGCTCGGGCCGGGCCGGCGGCGGCGCCACCACCTCCTCCTCCGGGTGCGGGAACTTGCAGCGCCGGCCGCGCCGACACACGTTGCGCAGGAAGTCGCGGCACACCAGCTGGTCGTCGACGGCGCTGTCTGCGCCGCTGCTGGCGTCGGAGGCCGCGTCCATGGCGGCCGGGACGGGCGGCAGGCAGCGCCTGACGACACCGTGAGAGGGTGCGGGTCACAAACAGGTCACAGAAAATACGGTACGGCAGCCAATGTTCATGATTGATTTCTGGGGATAAGGGAAATGTCTCCGCTGTAATTTTATTAAGTAAGTTTATTTACTTAATAAGTTTGTTTGACGCTGTAAGTTTACTTAACAATGCTGCAAAAAACATATCATGAATAATCTTTATTGTTTGCTGACATGCCTATATAGGCTAAGGCAAGGAAACATTCCAAATGATGATGTTTTAAGTTTTAAGCTGTATAACAGCACAATTAAGTTTTTTTTTCAGAATTTTGGGTGGAAAATCACACCTAATAGGAACAATATTTCCATCCCAAAGAAGAAAAAAGTGATATTATTTCAAATTTGAAATGTTTTTCATGTATTCAATCAGCCAGGCAACAAATGACTTGGCAGTTGGCAGTTGATGCATCCACATATATTTCTTTCAAATCCTGTCAAGATTCTGCCATGAAATCCTGCTTTATCAATTGGCATCACACCTTTTAAGAAAATACTACAGGTATTTACTTAACTATACTCTTTCTAATCATAGGATTTTTCTTCACCAGCTGGGCAGCACACCCAACCAAAATCCAACCTCCAGAACACTGGCACAATGGAGACGTTCCTTACACTTGCTGAGTGCAAAATTTAAAAAAAAATTAAATCAAATAACTGATAGTTAATAAATCAAATAACTGACCATAGACCACTATGTAGTCTATGGTCAGTGGTCAGTATAGACCACTATATGGGTAGACCAATATGATACGTAGTGGTCTATGAACTGACACAATGGATTGACAGCCAGTACCCATGCTATGCAATACTTGCTGAGTTCCTCTGGCCCTAACACTAATTGCACCCAAAAAGATCAGGCAATCCACAATTATGAGCATCGCAGTAATATAAATTCCCAAAATTTGGCACAAATATCAAACCAATTATTGTTTGATCTGACTTAACAATTTCATATAGCTGCAGATCCTCTTACCAACCAAAGATGAATCAAATCAGCAGAGGGGTGTTCACGGGCACCGCACACTGCTGCGTGCGGTGTGTGCGGTACGTCCAGCAGGCGTGGGGGTAGGGGATGGGTAGGCGGTTCTGATGTCACGGCTGCGTGCGGTGGACGGTCCGCTGTGGCCAGTCCCGACCAGCCACAGCGATCGCTGTGTGCGGTGACGGAAGGCTGACGTAGGGACGCGGTGGGCGGAGCTTCGAGGCTGTGTGCGGTCCGACCGCACACAGGGTCCGTGAACAGCCCTCTTGGCAACTCAAAAGCCTCAATGATGTTCCGAGCACAGGCACACAATTGGGTGACAGTTTCTGTATAGGTATACAGTATTTGAATATTTACAAAACTGCAAATATGGTCATTAAGACTGAAAGAAGAAAGAAAAGAACAAAATAACAGGCAATCTTGCAAAATAATAAAGCATTCTAGTTGAAATAAAGAAGGTGAAGGAAATGTGCGACAATTACGGCGCATCTACGAGGCTTCCACCTGCGGGCCCTCACACTCGCCATACGAGAAATATTTCTGGATGATGTATGAAGACAACGATTTATCTTACCTTAAATCAAAGGCGAGGATCAGATTCCTTATACCAGCATCACGTGCGATGATAAATCGCGTAGTAAAAATGCATAACAATCAAACATCCACCATAGTTGTCGCGAAATCAATGAACCAAGGTCAGCTGAATACTTTGATAATATGTATTCACGTTCGTCAATCTTGCAGCAGCTTGATATTCGCAAATCTGCTACTGGCAGTCAAACCTGCAAGAATCTTGGTCAAGTTCAGTGGTCAAACCACAGATAAAGAAAAAATGGATAAACATTCGGCGGGGCGAATATGCTGCTCTGACAGTGGGTTTGACGGATGTCCATCTACAAGCAACGAATTCAGAAATTCGCCTCGAATACACTGTTGTGGCAGTGGATTCACCAATGTCTGGCTACCAGCACAGTGGCGTAGCCAAGGGGGGGGGGGGGGGACACAAGGGGTACGTGCCCCTCCCATCGGGACCTGGGAGCCCCTCGGGCACGAAGGGCTCGAGGGACCTTACGGCGCCAATTGGCCGCTGAGAGTCCACGCAGGCCATATTTCGACTCAAAAGGGCCTCACAGGGCTTGTAAGGGCACCTCATAGGCCGCTAAGTATCCACACTAAAATCTCCGTAAGGGCACCACGCCGGCTTCTGAGGGCCTCTTGTCACCGGTAAGGTCTCTCAGAGGCCGCCATGGTTCCCTTAGAGGCTGATAAAGGCCCTCAGAGACCGCCAAGGGACCCTTGGCCTCTGAGGGCCCCTTACCAGCCTCTGAGGGTCATTTGCCGACCTCTGAGGGCCCCTTGGTGGCCTCTGAGGGCCCCGGCCTAATAAGGGCCAGCTCTAGGAGCTGCACACCCGGCTGTGATGGCCCAGCACCAATCTGACTGAGGGCCCCTATAACGGCGACTGTGAGGGCCCTCACCGGCGCCTATGAGAGCTCACACTCTGGGCCCACACCGGTATTTCTGTGAGCCCCCACACCCCCAACTCTGAGGGTCGACACTGCATCGACGGTTCTGAGAGCCCCATCCAGCGACTGTGGCGGCTCCGCACTGGTGGCTCTGAGGGCTCCACCGGCGTCTGAGAATACTATGTCGGTCTCTAATGACCCCTCAGGGCTCCTGAAGACGCCGCCGACATCTGAGATTCCTTTGTCGGCCTACGAAGGATCCGCACCAGCAGCTCTAAGGGGCCCCACGCACTTCTGTGATGGCCCTAAACCAGTGTCTCTGAGGGCCCCCACAACGGTGCTTGTGAGGGTCCTCACCGGCGACTGTGAAGGCTCCACACCGGCGCCTCTGAGAGCCCCACACTGCCACCTGGCCACCAGTGCGCTTCTGAGGGTCCCACACCGGCACCCCTGAGGGCCCCTCACCAGTGCCTCTTAATACCCTATATCGGCGCCTCTGAGGCCCCACACTGCCTCCTCTGAGGGCCCCACACCAATGTTCTGAGGGCCCCACATGCGCATCTGACGGCCACCCACCGGTGACTTTTGAGGGCTCCACCGGCGTGTGAGAATACCGTGCCGGTCTCTAAGGACCCCACTGGACTTCTGAAGGTATGTACCGCCGGCCTCTGAGGGTCCTTTGCCAGCCTGAGGACCCCTTGCCGGTCTCAAAGAGCCCCTGCCGGATTGTAAAGGGTTCGCGTCTCGCGACAGCTGCTCCAAGGGCCGCACAGTCCACACCCGTCTGTGATGGCCCCACACCAGTGTCTCTGAAATCTGAGGGTCCACAACGGCGCCCGTGAGAGCCCGCACTGGTGCCTCTGAGGGACTAAGACTAGCACCCATGAGGGCCCATAGCGGAACCTTTGTGAACTCAGCACCAATGCCTCTGATAGCCCACAGGCCACACCGGCACTGGTGAGGGCCTCCAGTGCCTCTAAATGCCCGTAACCGGCGGCTCTGCGGGGTCCTGCACCCGTGATTCTGAGGGTCCTACCGAAGGCCCCACATAAACCCTTAGTCTTAAATACCGGCCTCCTGAGAGCACCACACCACTCGCCAGTGCACTCATTGCCCCTCGACGGCAACTGTAAGGGCTTTACACCGTCATCTCTGAGGGTCTCACAACGGTGACTCTGATGGCCCCCAACGGCGACTCTGAGGGTCCTACACTGGCGATCTGGAAGCCCCATCCGGCCTTTGAGAGCACCACGCCTTACCTTGCGTTTTTTTTTTCTCCGATAAACTCATTCGTTCATGCGCTCGGGCTCGCTTCATCGATATAAGTTAACATTCTCGTATATAAAGAACACCCCTAGCCTCATGCCTTTGAATGGAAATTAAACACTTTTCTGGGGTTCGTCTTATATTAAACAAGACTCTCGTTGATACACCAGGAAGGCACCCCATTGCCACCCTTGCGGCACCCTCTTTCGAGCATTACAGCTCCCATCGACACCCCTCCGTACAAGGGCTCAGCAATGGGCTCAGCAATGGGCTCAACTTCATCATCTCGGAATGGGGCCGACGAAAAAAGCGTGCCGTCTTTGTCGAGCATCCGCGTCTTTTTGCTTCTGGACGGTGGCCGTTTTACCGAGGCGATCGATAGACGGTTGTCGGCTTGTTTTTGCGTTTGTGGTTTGTATGGATTTCCTGACGACCGCCGACGCGGTGTCGAGTGGGGTACAAATACTTGGGCGGTGAGTCGACGAGCAAGAATTCGCCCTGAGCCGATTATGCCTACTCTGGTCTGGATGAGGGGGGGGGGGCATCCGATGCCGCCGGTCGCACGAGACGGCGAAAGAAACAGAAGGGTGCGCTTTTTTCCTCTGAGGATAATTCTAATTTGGAAAAGGGAGCTAGTGCGATTCCTGATCATGCATTTTTGGGATAGGTAAGTACGATAATGCGCGGGATGGAATATCGCCTAAGTCGAACGTTTTACTTAAAATTGGAAGTCCCATAATTCTGCATTGCAGTCAGCTTCTGTATTCCGTTATTGGTGCAGAGCGCCCGGCTTGCGATATTCTAGGTCTAGCTGCTTGGCAGACGTGAGGGTGTTGGGCGGAATGGCTCAACCTTTATCTCCGGAATTAACTGCATGGCCTGATGCAAATCCGGCGTATACAGTCCCCAGCTAATGGTTTAGTGGCTCTCAGGGAAATTAGTTTTCTCCGCAACACCAGGCGAAATGGAGTATCACACGATTTATATTGGTTTCCTCAAGGGCATCGCCGTGTACCACACTGGGAATCCCGGCAGGTGACAAGTAGAACTCGCCAATCGCCATAGTGCCTGAAATTCCAACCGGAACAAATACAGTAGCTCATTCGTCCAAGATATAGGTAAGGTTGGTAAAGTTAGGTATGGTTAGGTAAATAAACGTACCCAGACAATATTCATTCATGAGTGATTTACCTCATATACCTAATACGAATTTCTTCGCGATCTCAAATAGGCACTAAATTCATTATTGCCTCTTTAGGCCTTCATTCGTTGATCACGACCTTTTTTTTTGTCTCGATGAAATTTCTGTCTGCACTATCGTCTAAGACCATCCTTCCAGTTCCTTTAACATCACCAACACCTGGTGGAAATTCCAACCGACAACATAACGCAGAACATTGCGGATAAGCGACTGATGTACTAGGAAAATTTGATAAACAGGTACGTAAATTCTGGTACATGCCTAGAGGCAGGCATACTTATAGAAACCATGCAGACAAATGGATTCTGAAAAGGCTTTACACTAAAGCGGCTTATATGTAGATAAGCTGAAATTTATAGGTCGGCTCTCGGCTCTCTGACCCATGGGCTAGGTCAGTTGCCATTGGAACGATTATCATCGAGAGTTCAGCTCAAACAGTCAGTGCTTCTGAGTTTACAAACTACGGTTCGGACGAATAATGCAAAAACATCATCGTGGGAAGACGGCGGCTGTCTGGTAATTGTCTGTTTTTTTTTTCTCTCTCTCTGTGCAAAAGTACCATATATACCTATTATACTTTACATTCATTTATCACAAACACACATTTAAAGATAACATATATTTACATAACATATATTTATGACCGCGGAGGTAATGTCTTGGCTCTTAGCATCTATTTCCAGCTGCACGTACAGCATTCCTCATGAGTTTCACGCATTTTTCATATTCTCGCCTTTTCACTTTTCACATTCTAACCTGATTCTAACATTGAATCTGTCACCTTAATCTGTGTTCTCCGAAACGCCGCCCACAACCCTGTAAAGCGGCGGATAAAATCTGATGTTATGTTGGAGCGTGTTTTAGCCAAGTGAGGTCGTCAGGACGATAAAAACTGAAAAGCAAAGTATCTGTGGCAGCTTCTGGCTGCACGTTTTACTGTTTGAGTAAATCATCGTCACGTTGCCCTCATGAACATAGATGTCAGTTTTCCATCAAATTATTTGATTGAAGTAATGACTTATGAGCATAATGCACAGCAAGTGGCAATACGAATTTTTATTCCACAGAAATAACTGTCAGAATGAAACAGTGAACTTAAAAAAGCCGGCAAACATGCGATATTACCTATAAGACAGCCGGCGTTGAAACCGTTTTGTCTTATCGCCCGATTGGCTACACTAAAAATCATAGCCTGAGCTGAGATATGAGGAGCAGATAGGCGGTGTTTCCGTTTATGTGAGCTGTGATGCGTTTCCTATGACTCACTGAAGGCGAGAGGTGACTCAGAAGCCCAAGGCATGCTGATAGCACATCATAGATAAATGCCGAGTCGCTCGTCTACTTTTACAATCAAGCACTAAGCATTCGCAAATTTGAAAAAGATGAATTGTGCCTTATAAAAATAGATGTTTTGTAAGCATTCCTTTTGCAGCAGCTACGTAATTGTTACGTCATAGGCAAAAAGCGAAAACATTGCTTATGACACGTTGCATGCATTTTATTTTACGCTTGAAATAAGTACAATTGAAAGTGTTTGATTCAATCGTAGCTATAGTGCGCATGCATTACGAGCGCCATTCATGTGCAACTACGTGTGTGCTTTTGCGTACAACTACAAACACGCTCTAATGGTGGTTGGGTTGTGCGGTCAAATGGGTTTGATGGCGATGTCTAGGTCAACTATCGACAAACATCAGGGGTAGTTTACTTCAGCGTGATAAGTAAGACCAATATTTATTTTCAGACTGACCATTACGCCTATTAGCACATAAATATAAATTAACTCGGGGTTAAATGCTGGTTTGGATTGATGTAAACGGGACTGGTGTGCTGTATAGCGTTTATATCG